TAGCAAGACATAAGACTATTGGGAATTATCTTCTCTAGAACTTCAGAGTTAGTACTAAATCAGATGGTACCATTTCATCCGGGGTATGTAAACCTTTTTCCCAGCTCAATTTTCTTGAAACCTCATTTGCATTGATAATGTTCTTTCGCCATATCATTATACAATCTAGATATTTGGTCAATGCTCTTTAATAACAAAATCGATTCCCCCTTTTTTAAAACTATTTTGTGGTTTGGGATCTTCGAACATTTGATGTCATTAAAAAAACTTAACAATTATTCAATCATCTTCAGTACCTACATCTGAATCTACTTAGCATGAAGAATCATGACTTGAGTGCTCCATTTCACATCCTACAATAAGGGATATGACAAGTTCATTTACCATTGAACAACCTCGAGCGTAAGGGCTAATAATGCACTATCCTAAAAAGAATAATATTTCATGTTTTCTAACAATTTCATATAAGTGAAATCCACTATACTTTTGAGGAGATAACTTGTGTCAACAAACAAGAATTCGACCGAGATTCCAACGACAACATTTCCATCAATCACTTGTCCAAGCTCTCCATCTTTAATTTTGATTATCAATCACAAAAAGCTTGTGTGTCCTTATCTGTGCAAAAGGGCATAGATGAAAGTAATCTTATATTCTTGGTCAATGTATAAACTTTACAATATAACCACATTGGTAAGATGTAAAAAATAAGCATATTTTATATTTTTCAAGAATTTTATTTGATAGTAATTACACCTATAACCATTAATATAATCCCATAAATATTTCAATTAGGAATGTCAATTAATATTTAATTTCTTACACTTAAATACCCCAATACCAAGTCTTCATCATTTTATAAAGTTATTAATGAAAAATAGGAATTTTATGGCACAAATCTATAAATTTGTACATAGTTAGTAATGGAAAATAATAATTTTAAAATAGAAAATACTAATTTTAAAATGGAACATACTTGTTATTTGACTTAAATGTTTTTCAATATATACAAAATAATATTTTTTAACTATTTCTCTAAATATTACTTGTTGACATGCTGTGCTGACGTGTCAAAAAAATTACACATTAAGCGTGTCACATGTCATGATTCTAGAAGGCCAACTCTCAAATTTTATATATAAAGATTAATGATCTTCAAAGTTTCTAACCCAAATTAGATATGAGCAATTGCACATACTACTCAATTTTTTTTATGGAGCCTAATGTAGGTAGGCTAGTTAAAAGGTTAGCTTACAAGCATGAAATCTTTGTCAGTAACTTGAAATTATTGAATTAAACTTTGTAGTAAAGAGAAGGTATAATGCAATTATTGAATTAAACTGTTGTGAACTCTATAATTTCATAAACGTTTAAAGACAATATCGTTCGTGTGTCTACTAACTTGAACTTAGATGAACTTCCCATAGTTCATGGGAAGTGAGCTTCTTAATTATCACTCAAGCCAGAAGATAAGCTTCATAGTTTTATTCTTTTTTATTACACATTGTTGAAAGAAGATTTCAACGAGGAAAGAAAATAAAATAATTCGAATGTATAATATGTTCGAATTTTACAATGGGAAAGTATCTGCAAACGTTAAGAGAAGAAGAGTCGCCAGAGTTTTCCTTAAGGTAGTAACGCCTGTCTCCCGCACTGGCAACATGGACGACCTACCCCCAAGATAAAACCTCTAACGTGCAAGGTCTAGAGCGGTAGAACGATGCACCAGCAAACTAAAACAAAGTAGAATTACACGCTAGAGAAGATAATCGAAATCAAAGAGAGTTAGAATGTGTTAGACGCCTTACACACCTCTAGAGGGGGGGTTCAATAGAGGTGTTGCCCAAATGACCGGTTTTTTGCATGGAAGCGTTCTTCACGAAATTCTTGATCAAAACCAACACACCGCAAATAAAGTAAAGTGAAGGATAAAAGCAATGAACACACGATATATACTGGTTCGAATTAAATGCCTACATCGAGTCCCAAAAGCAAATGTGCCCGAGCCTAGGGGTGGGCGTGAAATTTGTTCCCGTTGGACCATTTCGAAAAATCCCAGATCCATTTTGTAATTGTACCGATATATTGGGACACAATTTTTTTTATCCCGAACTCCTTCTGTCCCAATATCAAATGGGACACGAGCGGGACAACTTAAATTTATACCGATCCGTCTCGTTTGTCCCGTTTTATCTACTCTAGTAATATATAATACTAATTCTAGTCAAAAATCCAAATACATTCATTCTTTAATTAATTAGTTATTTAATTAAATTAACTTCATAGGCTTGAAATTGATTTGGACCCGTTCCACTCATTGTTTTTTGTTGGATGACTAGATGTTTCTTTTTTTTTGAATGAAATGTCACCCTCTTCTCCTTCTTATATTTGCGTTTAGGACAAAGTAGGACGACCCGAAACTTATGCGAGAGATTTTTTGATACGTTGTTTGATACCGAAAACCCTCGCTCAAAAAGAGATGAGAATGAAATGGAATGGGAATGCGAAAAATGTAAATGGAATGAGTATAATGGTGGAAGTAAGGGTTGTCGTGTCCACGGGGATAGTGTGATTTGTTGGGAATCGAGTTCAAAGTGCAACTAAACACTAATATCAAATTGTAAATTATGAACTAAGACCTAAAAGTAGAGAGAAGATGAATGATGCAAGTGATAATAGAACTAAACTAATGCAAAGAAATTCAAGAAGTAAATGAAAAGCAAGCCCAGATTAGGAATTTCGTGCTAACAATGCTATTGTCAAAGGAATAGAGGAAAATCGGTTCTAGAATGCGAGCAAATCACCTTAATTCTCACTTCCGTGAGAATCGAGAAAGAATCCCCTTGATAAGAACCCACTTCCGTGGCACTCGTCTCAAGAGAACTACAAACACATCAAACAAGCTCCTCAAGTATCCTCCACTTCCGTGGTAGGAATTGAGAGAAGAGACACACAGCTAGGGTTCTAAATCCTGATTCCTCAATAATTTAGAATCCACTCCGAAATACAAGAATGTCATCATGACCAAAACAACATCCTAGCGACAATAAGATCAATCTCTACAAACAACCTAGAGCAATATCTCATATTTCACACTAATCCATCAACAACAAGCACAAACCAATACTTCATCCCTAACCTTGGCTAGAAAATCTAGCCTAGTATGCTTAAACTAAAGAGATGCATAAAAGATAAGAGAGTAAGAAAATAAACCAAAGGCATAAACGAGATGAAGAAATTAATAAACTAACACTAAGAGACAACTAAATAGTATTAAAGAGATAATATTAAGGTTGGAGCTCCCAAAATGAAAAGAGATAGTAATGAAGATGAATAAAATTTAGTCTAAAACATGGAATGAAGAAATAGGGGAGATCCCTTAACAATTGGAGCTAGGGGAGTATATATAGAGTAGAAGAAATTGAGAGTGAATTGACAATTGATAGTTATTTATATTTTAATAGTCGCCGGTGCTGGAGCTGCGATTGGGCTGGGTTGGGTTGTCGATGAAGAACGCGCCTCGCCTCTGCCGGTTGATGATGCGCGACTTGAGTTTGGGGAATTTTGGGAAATTCTAAATCTGGCCCCATTATTTGAATTCAGCTTCTAATTAGTCCTTCCTTTCAAGTTAGGCTCTAAAATCAATCAATTAGCACAAATTAGTCCAAAATTATAATTGTGACAAATAATTCACAATTAAACTCTAAATACTATTAAGATTTAAGTTAATAAGTCTATCAAAAACGTTTATCAAATATGCACAAATAATAGACTTATCAACTCCCCCACACTTAAATCATTATTTTTCCTCAAGCAATCAAGAACTAAAGCCACAAGATCGGAACGAATATATGCACTCTTGTCAATCTATGTCAAGTGGAAGAATCAAGCATATACTAACAATATGAACCAAGAGAACTCAAGAAAAGCTTCCAAGATGGTTCTTCATGAAATGAAAGCTCAAAAGAATCACAAAAGCTCACAAGATGACGCTCATTTGCTTGTCTTTTCACTCATGGTTTACTCGCTCACAAACCTAACCTCTAAACACAATCAAGAAGTCCTTTATTAAGTAAAGATGAAAGATAAGGGATAGGTGAGTAGATGAAAGGGTAAGAGATGGGTGGAGTGAGGTGGCGGGGTTTGATGGGGGTAGGAGAGAAATCTAAAGTGTTAACTTTCTACCAAGAGAAGTCAAGGTCGGTAAAAAGATGTGACACGTGTTTCAAGGAATCCACAATAGGAGACAATCATCTATGGCTCATGCGCTTTGGGCGAAACAAGGTACATTTCGAAGCTCGACCCTCCGTTGAGGTATACTCCAAAAATGCAAGCAAAAGCACGTATGTCTCATTACACTAGTACAAAAATGACTTTTTAAATCGGTTATTTGGACCCTTTTAAATCGGTTTCCAACCGATGCAAAAGCCAGCGATGCAAATACTCCGATACTTTTTTCATCGGTTGCTAAAACCGATGCAAAAACCCTTTACAAAAATTACCGCCAGTTCTGAAAGTTGGCTTTTTGCATCGGTTACTAAAAAACCGATTCAAATGCCCCTACCCAGAAATGGCGCCATATTTGGGTAGGGGCTTTTGAATCGGTTATTTGTGATTCAATAGCTAATCTTTTGAATCGGTTATTACAAATAACCGATTCAAATGCTCCTACCCAAATATGGCGCCATTACTGGATTGGGGCATTTGAATCGGTTTTTTAGTAAAACCGATGCAAAAGATTAGCTTTTGAATCTGTTTTTGAAAATAACCGATTCAAAAATGCTTTAAATTTTCAAGATTAATTTTGTTTGTTAATGATATAATCGAATACAACAATGCAGAAAATTCAGCCCATCAACACAGAAGTAACTAATACAAATGTTTTCACAAAAATCAAATCAAATGTCACAAAATGAATTAAACCACTTGAATATCTTAAACGATATAAGAGTAAAACTACTACGTATTCTTCAAAGTTTTAACAATACAACTAAATCCTAAAACTACATTGTACTTTACTAACTTACACAAGTTCATCGAGAAAACCCCCGGCCCAAAACTCTCTAATTTCCTCTAACTCGGCTCTAGTATAAGGCAAAGTAGACTGAAACACCTGCAAAATCAAACAACATACGACATAAAGTTCAATAATTATTACCCTACACTTCACTACTTTCGTAAACACTAAAACAAACTTACCTCGAATAATGGTACTGAACATTTTGCACAAATATTGACGATGACCCAACAATATCGCATTGTATAATAACCACACTCAACATTCCCTTCTTGTTGGGGTACTCCTGGAACATCAACCCAATCCGGTCGAGCCTTAAGCTGAGGCATATGTCGTTCCTGAAATAATCGCCAAGACCTTTAATAAATGCAAAAAAAACAAATTAATAAAAAAATAATTTCATAACAAATAAACAACTTTATTAATAAGTAATAAATTTCTTAATACTCACTCGTTGACGAAAGTCTTCACCTTCATATTCTTATGACCTCCAGTTGACTTGATGGAGTTTAGAAAATACACTTTGTTTTCAAACAAACATATTACAACTAACACCCAATGTCGCCTACAATTGAAAAAAGCGTTAGTCACAAACTTAAAATAAAAAACTAAAATACATATTAGAAATGATTTAAAAAGACATACGGTGTCGATAGATACAACGGCATAAGTATCCAGGGTCGCAATTGATAGGTCTCAAGTGCTTTATCCAGATACTGGCGATCTCCAAATTCTACCACGTATGCTATGCTCTCTGGACATAACAACCCGACAGACGCAATGTCCAGCTCCATCATATGATCGTACA